AGCCCTACCTGCGCCTCATGCGGTTGGACAAGCCCATAGGTGAGTGCGGACGCGCGCGGCGGTCCAGGGGGCCGCGGGCGGAATGGAGATGATGCCTGAAAGCCGGCGTTGGGCCGCCAGGCGCCCGGTACCCTCGAGCCTCCCGGACCCGGCGGCCTCCGAAGTCGGCCGGCTTTCGCACTCTTCTGAATCCTTAGCGCCTGAATAGAGCAAAAAATTCTCTCATTCCACAGTCTTTGTTTAAGCAGTGAGTCTAACAGAAATTCCATCCTCGTGTCGCTACTTTTGCGCAGATTTACTGTATGGAAGCACTTCCACGTTTATTATGTTTCATCCTTCCTTTAATCCCGTAAGGCGCCCAGAGCAATAATTGAGACGATAAAGACGCTGAGGAAACTAAAGCTCTTTGGCAAAGCCAGACCTGGTGATGCTGAGTTTCCTACTCTTTGCCTGCACCATCCGTAACACAAACATTTAATTTATTTGAATGCAGCAGGTACAGCATTTATGGACTACGTATCAGCTCACGGTCTCTTCCTAACGGAGGGTTTCCCTGACCGTCCTATTTAAAGTATCACTTATCACTTCACTCTGTCTTTACTCCCAGCTTTTCTTCTTAGCACGCACCACTAGCCAACCTTGTGACTTTATTTGTTGATAGACTTCTCCTGTGCAGTATAAGCTGCACTTATATGGGACTTTTATATCTAGTGTCTAGAACAGAGCCTGGCGGTAGTGGTTGAATAAATTAATTCCTACAACATCGCCTAGCCTTGGGGATAGAAAGAGCTATGGAAACTCCCTACTTCCAAAAAACTCCCCGTCTAGTTCGGAAAGACAGTATTGGGTGAGCTGAGAAAGTACAGGATCAAATATAAGTGATACGGATATGTAGGTAGAGCAGGAAAAAGAAATTATTGTGACTCTTCATTGCTGGAAAAAGTCAAGAAGAAAGTGTACCTCAAAGGACAGGTAGATTTTGCAGAGGAAAGAAGAGCTCTTGACTGGTGGAGGAAATATTTTGCAAAGACCTAGGGGTGGAGTGTTGGAACACTAAGGATATAAGCTGGTCTGGAACCCCAGGTGGGCATAGAAAATAGTGGGAGTCAAGGCTGGATAAGAGCTGGGCAATTTAAAGTATTACCTATCACCTCACTCTGACTCTTTCCCCCCACTTTTCTTCTTAGCACTGAGGGATGGACACTGGGGAGGGAGAGGGAGGAGGCTGAATTCCAGGTAATCTGGATGATGACATTTACCATTGCAGTGAATGAAAGTACATTCAAATGCCTGGATATATTCCGTCCACTTTTGTCCAGCCAAGACCCCAAAGTAGGCCTGGTTTTGGTATTCTAGGTTTATGCACTACCAGTTTGAGATTAGAGCACAAAGAATTTATAACAGTCAACAATTAAAGTATAAAAGCCAATTAAATGATAGGCGCAGTCCTGCCATCATGACCCCTTGCATTTTGGGGCCAGACAAGCCCAGTTTTCGTCTGAAGCCTGACTCTTACTCTGTTCTTGTGATCTTTGTCCCTGTAGTGTAGGCTGTGGGCATGTAAGACCAGCAGCTGCTGTTAGTCCCGGTTCCGTGAATCTCTGGCTTCTCCCTTAGTGGCTAGACCACCCTACTGTATAGTAAGAGGCTATAAAGGGGTTATGTATGAGAAAGCTCTGGAGCCAGACCTCTTGGGTTTGAAATCTCCACTCTGCCCACTTGAGGGACATCTGGTAAGTTACCTTACCTCTCTGGGGCCTTCACTTCTCATCTGTAAAACAAAGACTTAAGAGAACTGACTTTATAAGGTTGTCATGAGGATTCATTAATATACATTAAGTCTTTAAAACAATGTCTGACGTAGTAAATGCTTGCGGATGTTAGCCATTACTTGAAAAGTAGGAATTGGAGAAGATTGGGTCAATAGTTATTATGCAGGTTAAGAAGATAGCAGCTGGCCTGCTTTGGTTCTAAATGAGGTAACTGCAGGATTTTTCAGACAGCCTATTAATAGTACTGTTAGAATTCATTCAGCAAACATTTTTTGAGTCCCTACTATATGCCAGGAACAATAAATTGACAGTAGTAAAAGTCCAGGTTTGATATTTCTTTATTTAAATTCTTTTGTGGGGTAATTTTTTGTTTGTTGTTTTATTTTGTTGAAGTTTGGTCTCTTTATTTTCAGAAACCAAAGTGGGTTTTGTTGTTTTTCAGAATGAATACAACTTCCTACAACCATGACACAAACCATGTTATTTCAGGAAGTTTCAGCAGGTGGCACTCTTTCCACTAAAAATGGTGGTGTAATTTTTGTTTTACTGCATTTATGTCTGATTATGTTGTCTTAAAGATAATGTGTAATTAGTGAAAGAATCCTAGGCTCAATTTACACAGGCTCTTTGGTCTGCCTATCACCGCTGAGAAGGCTGCTTATTTTAATCTCTCAGAGAGTTTTTTCCTTTTTCTGTAATAAATATTTATTTCTGAAATTTATTTGTATCCTTACCATCTCTGCATCTTTCTTCACAGAAGAGAACAGAATGAAAGTGTCATAGGGAAGACAAAAAAAAATGTCTCTGAGAATCAGAAGGGCAGAAGAATAATGAGGACGTAAGCATCTGTAAAGATTTTAGGTCTCCAGGGTGATAGCACTGGCCTTAGGATATAGACTGGAACCAGGCTGCTTGGGTTTAATTGCAGCTGTGCCGCTTTTTGCATGTGTGGCCTTAGGCAAATTATTTTCTCTTTGCTTCAGTTTTCTGCATTTGTTAAATGGGTATAAATAAAAGTCACACCTATCTCATAGGTTTGTTGTGAGAACCAGAAGTGTTGTATGACAGCCCCTGGCACACAGTAAGCACTATGAATTTGTTATTGTCATTATTGTTTTCATTATTGCCATCATCACGAATATTGTCTTATAACAACTCTGAGAGACAGATGTTCTTTCCCCTCACATGTAGATGAGGAAGACTGAGCCTTAAAGTTTAATATACTTTAGCATCTAGTGTCACTTACTAGGGGCAGACATTGAACCTTCACTACAGGTGTCATCTGTAGGGGTGCCCTACAGAGTCTTAGATCTGTGAATATGTTATCTATAATACAGACTTACGGCCAGGGAAACTTTGTCCCTGACACAGAATGCTATAGGTGATTACACATCTTTCTCTCTAGAATTCTTTTTTAAATGACACCTTCAGTTCTAGTTGCACCTGGAAAATAATGTCTGTGAAGTGGTGTTCTTTCTTTTTTTATCAGGGCAGAATCAGCTAGATACTCCTCTGTCCCTCTGAGCTATACTGGTAGGTCCAGGGAAAAGGAAATGATTAAATACATTATGTTTTACTTAACCTCTGTGCATCTGTTTTCTCATCTGTAGAATAAAAATAATAATAATGCGTACTTTACAAATAGGGTGTTTTTGAGTATTAAATGAGTTTGTACTCATAAAGCATTTGGAACACTGCCTGACATTTCATGAACATTTAGAAATGTTAGTTATTGTTGTCCAGGACAACCTGAATTCAGGTCTAGACTAGTCATTTCTCATTTTTAGTCTCTCCTTGCCTTTTCAGCAGTGTGAGGCTAAGCCCCCTTCTGGAAGAGCCTCCCTGGGTTTTCCCTGCTCCCTCCCCAGTTAACTTGAGTGGCACCGTTTTATGCCTTTATAGGATCCTGCACTTGCCCTGTTGTTGAATTGATCTGTTTCATTGTTATTTTTTGTTTAACTGTGTTTCTTCCTTTTGATTTATAAGTTGTGTGAAGACAGAAAACAGCTCTCTTCTTAGTCACCGTTGTATTTCCAGTGCCTGCCACAGCTCTGGCACAAAATACACATTTTATAAATATATGCAAGTGAATAAAGCTTAAATTTAATGAAGCTTAAATACGATTATTAAGACTTTGTCATTTGACCATTTTGCACAGGCTCTGATGTTTCTTTAGCCACATATCCTATTTCCTTTTGGGGGAGGAAGAAGTTATCCTATACCCTTCTCAGTTCTGACTGGCCTAAGAATTAAATTGACATCCGATTACTAACAGAAAATCAGACAACAATTTAGTAGCATATATGTATGGGAGAGACCCAGGAAGACTGAGTAACTCACCAAAATACCCTCACCTTAAATACCATCCTCAGCTAAAGGCACAGGAGGATGTTGCGGGGAGTGGTTTCAGACTTCAGAGGGGAGGGAGGTAATTCACACTGAGCTAGAAAAACAAAGTTTTGATAAACAGTAATCTGTGGTCTCTAGGCCCCACCAAATTTCCCCACCACACCTCGCCCTTATTTTTTGCAAATATCTGGTGATAGCTCTACTTCAGTAACAAAAATTAAGTGTTTTAATTTTTTTCTTTCCAGGAAGTTGAAAGAGGTATTTATTGGAGCACCAGTTGCAAAATGTAAGGAAAGTAGACTTAAGAGTCCACAGAATGTTAGTAAGTGCTGCCCATGGACTATATATTTAAGCCATCTTTTTGCTGCTTAGGAAATAAAAGCCAAAATGTTGAGTTATTTTGATATGAGGACCTTTATCTGAATTCTTTTAGGCAGTTAAGGAAGGAGGTACAGGAAAACTTCTTGAATCTTCTGTTTCTTAAAAATAATCAGCCTCAAGTTATCCTCATGCCAAAGGGACACACTCTGGGGTGACAAATTTTACTCCTCTACACTCATATTGCTAAATGGGAAAGGAAGAATTTACCTAACACGCACAATATCCAAACATTTGTTGAAAGACTTTCTTTTGAAAATAGGGTATCTGCTAAAGTTCATGTATGAAGTCTCCTATCTCTACAATCTATTTGGTTTTAGCTTAATTTCATCTAGTTTATAGGCTAAGTACCAGGAACTAATCCCATTTGTGCGTGTAGTAGCAAAATATTAAAAAAACAGTAGGTTAATAACCTCCCTCCCCCAAGACCATTTTATTATATTGTATTAACAACAATAAAGGTTTTATTTGCTTTTTTGGACAGGTAATAATACATGCATAGGATACGAAATTCAGAAGGTGCAAGGGTGTAGACTGAAAACTAGATTTCCCACTCCTGTCTCCTACGCAACCAGCTTTCCTCCCCAAAGGCAACTCTTAATCAGTTTCTAATGTATCCTTCCTGACATGGTCTACGAACATATATTCAAAAATACGTATCTGTTTTATATGTGTGCGTGTGCGTGTGTATATACACAGATACATAAATATTTTAAAAATTTTCAACTTGTGCTCCATAAGAGTTGGGCCATTTGCAAATTCATCAGAAATACATGAGAGTATCTAACTCCCTAGGATGTGTTGTCAGACTTTGGTTTTGCCAATCTGATAGGCGAAAAATGTTGTATCAATGTAATTTTAATGTATATTTCTCAAAGTGGAGTATATTTTCATTGATATGAGTCATTTATATTTTCTACTATGTTTTTTGTCCATTTTTCAATTAGGCTATTGACCTCTTTTCAGTTTCTAGGAACCTTGCATAGTAGAGACAATAGTCTTTTGTTCTATGAATTGCTAGTTTATTTTCCCAATTTTGTCATGTGTTTTTGATTAGGTATTCCTTACTTCATTGGGATGCAGTGTTCAAACAAATGAAGGCAGTTAACTAACTTGAATTTATACCCTTTTTGTCTTTTTATTTTTGTTTAGGAACCTGGCTGCTGTATCTGCCATGTACCTGGAGCATTGGCTTGGCAGCTGAACCAGGTGGTTTTCCAGATTGGTACATGTTATCCCTCTTTGGCACTGGAGCTGTTCTGATGCGTGGAGCAGGCTGTACTATTAATGACATGTGGGACCAGGACTACGATAAAAAGGTAGATTCATCCTGGAAAGGAACAGAGAGGCTCCTCTCAATTCTGCAGATTAAGATGGTGGCATCATGTTTGAATGCCACATAAAGCAACAGGGTCATTTAGTGTCCTCACTGAAATCCAGCATAAGAAGTGCCAGTATTGGTTGAATAGCTGGTTTGCCAAGTGCAGTGTGCTTCCTTTCTCAACACAAAAGCGACCATGGGGGCAAGGTATGTACTTCATTTTCACAAAATGAATTAGAATTTGGGAGGCCAGAGTAAGGAAGTTAGGAGTGAAGGTAAAAATTCCATCCTCAACCTTTGGGTGTCTGAAAGAACTGTCATCTCTTCCTTTGATATGTTGGAGCCATAACAGTTCATATGTTCAGTTAAATCTTAATTTAAATGAACTGAGGCAGCCCTGTTAGCAGTTGCTCTAATTATTTCTTTAAAACAGCTAATTTTATTATTTTCTTCTCCTTAGAAAAATAATTCATTGTTTATTCCAAAAAATTCAGACAGTATAGAAATAGAAAGGATAGAAAGTAACAAGTTCTCCTTATCACCTCCCCCTCATCCCCAGAGGAAACTTCAGATACAGTATGACACGTTGTATTCCTCTGGATTATTTTCTATGCATGTTCTAATGCATGTGTGTATATTCTTTGTTCTTCAACAGACCGTTATTTTCTCAAGGGAAATGTCCATCTTGTTTGCCTTTTGTTACAGCAGTCATAGTATAACAAGTACAGGGTCATTAAATGCTTGAGTAAATTCTCAAGTAAACTTTCAGTTTATAGGAAACCTGGGTGAATTATGTAAATAATCATATAACACTTACATAAAGTGAATAATCTACCCTAGTTTGTCTTTCATATGTCTGAATTTCCTTAAGCAAAGCACACCTATAATGATTTTTAGTGTGTAGAACAGTATCACACCAATATATTTTTTAGTTCAAAAAACATTTGTTGAATACCTGCTGTGTATGAGACAGTGCAGGTATTGCATGGATGAAAGACAACACTGCTAACCTCACAATTTAGTAGCTATCATGAGAATGGTACCCACAAGGGAGTTTACTGAAGACCACCTACCTTAGCCCAAGGGAGGAGGTCTAAGGGAACTTTTGGCAGGGTTGGGGTGGGGCGTGACCTTTGAACTCTGTCAGAATCAGATGGCAAGAGAAAGCTGGGCTGGAGGGTGAAGGTGACTCCAGGCAGAGGGAACAGCAGATACAGAGGCATGACTGTGAGGTCAAGAATATTACACTTGACAACTGCAGCTTGGAGTTTGTGTGTGGCTGAAGATAGGATGGTGGCAGGAACTGCATGGTAAAGGCAACTCTGTCCCACTGACCCAGTTGGGCTGTCTGACCATGCCAGGAGGTGCATACTTTCTTGATTTGGGGATTCACACATCCTGGTCAGTTTTCATTCTGCATAACCATATGAATGAGGCTTCCGCCATATATCACTTCAGAATAATTATTGAACACATTTAGAGTAGCCTAATGTCAAAATCCTGGTTGTGAAATTGTACTGTAAAGTTTCACAAGATGTTACCCTTCGGGAAACTAGATAAAGGGTTCATCAGATCTCTGTATTTCTAGAAGTACAGAGATCTAAAAAGAATTTCCTGTGAATCTATAATTATCTCAAAACAAAAAATTTGACTAAAAAAGAACATACTCAAACCAACTTTTTCTACTTTTTAAATTAACAAAATATGACCATTTTAGTTTTCTCTTAAGTGATTTTTTTTCTCCTTAGATAGAAAGGAATAGATATCTTACATCTCCCCCATTTTTCTCTGATTAGAAGAATCCAGAGTCTGTGCTGACGTACAACAAAGCATTTAAATGAGTGTTTTTTATAGCTATTGCGGTGGTTTTTCTAACATGAATTTTAAAATGTTAAGTGCATCTCTTTCAAAGGATGGGTTAAAAAACTTGATCAAATTGTAATGTTTACATTACAGTTTCTTAAAGGCTGTATTTCATTAAGGATATATTTATAGCTCAGGGTTTTGCTTAATAGATGACTAAACTGCTAATACATTAAATGATAAGTGAATTGCTATTAGGGTACATGGGTTAAAAGTGTTTTGTTGATGTTGTATATAATCTGCTAGCCATGTGATAAACATTAGGTTGAATAATCATTGAAATAATCTCAGCACACAGGTGTTACTTGGTTTTGTAAGCTGTTTCATAAAAACCACATCAAATATGTTTCTTGGTCATCGTGTTAATTCATTTTTAGTCGTTTGATGGAGTGCTTGTTTATCCTCAGCTTTCAAGGTTAGCTAGGTAATTAGCATTGCAGGGAAGGAGCAGTGTAATCTTGTGGTTAGTACTGTGGTTGGTGGGACTGACTCACTGTGCTACTGTAGTATCTGTCACCTTGGAAAGTTATTGAGCCTCTCTGCCTCAGGTTCCTAAAACTTAGAAATGGCCAGAACTTATGAGTGGCTAAAAGACAGTTGTTCCAAGGAGTCAATGGTGCGACGCATATATAGCTCTTAGAGTAGCAGCACGCTGGAAACACTCAGATACTGGCAGGAGTAGTCATCATATCCTAAAACAAATAGAAGAGCATAGATGTTACTTCCACTTGAAACTACAGGGACCAAATCAAGGATAAGAGATCCAGTTCTGGTGCTCTGATCAAGATGAGTCATTACAGTTTTTGACAAACTATTTTATTGCACAGCGAAGCATGCTATGAATTGGGTCAGCAAACTTTTTCTGTAAAGGACCAGATAGTAAATATTTTAGGCTTTGTGGGCCATACCATCTTCGGTGCACTACAGCTACTGCACTCTGTGGCAGTGTGAAAGCAGCCACATACACCAGGTAAGCAAATGGGTGTGCCTTGGTTTCAGTAAAATTTTATTTCTGGACACTGGAATTTGAATTTCTTATTTTCATGTGGCGCAATACATTATTCTTTTTAAAATTTATTTTCAACCATCTAAAAAAGTAAAACCCATTCTTTGCTCATGGGCTGTATAAAAACAGGCAGTAGGCTGGATGTGGCTCGCAGGCCATAGTTAACCCTTGGTATAAATCATACAAAAATATGTGATAATAGTTAACATTTAGTGCATACTTACATGCTTCAGACACTGTAGTCACTCTTTGAAGTAGGTGCTGTTACTATCTCTCCCCCTCTGTTTTCCTTTTAATAGACAAGTAACCTAAGCCCGAGGGAGGTTGTGTAATTTGCCAAAATTCACACAACCAGTAAATGATAGACTCAGATTCAGACACTGGGCTCTCTGGTCCCACATCCTGAGTTCTTATCTTCCAGCAATGTTGAAAATTTTGGTTGTGCTCTTTATTTGTGGTTGAGTTTAGAATAATCACGTTTCATGATCTCTTGGAAGGAAAAGAACAATTGATATGTATTATTTATTCATGTAATTGCTCTGTCTATTCATATGCTCACAATGAGTTTGCCCTTTATATTTGGGGGCAGTTAATACAAGATCACAGCCCCATTCCTACATAGACTGGCAAAAGCACTCCCACTTGCAAACCCAGATAATCTGTCTGCCTTCCTTCTTTACATCTGATTTCTGATTGCAGTGTTTCCCATACTCAAAACATTCACCTGGTGTTAGCCTTATCTGACATGCTCTGCAGTTTTCTCTTTGCTGAGAATTCTCATTATTATTGTCTCTCTCTTGTCTATGGAAATAGAACATACACCTGCTAAGCTGGGTGGTTAAATAGCTAGATAAGGAAGTTGCTTTGTCTGGTTTGTTCGAAGGTGGGGATGAGAGAAGGAAAGAAAGCGGAATGAGTGGTGGGAATTTTTAGTTCTTTTCAAAGCTATTTCAAATATGAAGTTCTGATTCCTGGCAGTACTTCCGATGTTCACCTTTAATTCATATTT